TTTGCAGTTTACAGTAATTAGTAGTAGGTGTGCAGTTTCAACGAAACGGTTGAATGCAGTTAAAATGCATCAACTGCATTTGAACTGCTTCAAACTGCAAATTTGCAGTCGGAGTGCAGTTGAAATGCAGTCTGTCTGTTTAAAGCCTAAGTGTGTACTCAGTATTGGTCTCATTTAAATTTGACGAAAATATTCCACCTCTCAAGCCTGGCAAACTAGGGATTAATCCAGTTTCGCGTACTTTTCAATAAAACTTAGCAATATATGGCCATTTGAAATTTTAATCAAATGGCAACCCTACAAACGTCACTTTACTCCATCTTGTAAAAAAATAGTATAGTATATTTGCCTATAGTCTAGCCAAATTCGATGTAGAATACATGTCAACAAACAAAAACACTGAAACAACAACAAACATGATTTTTAGGGATTTCATCTCTTTCACAGTTACCACAATTTCAATATATTTCTATGAAATTCAACTAGATTATGGATAATAGTAAATCTTTAAGCCATGTTTATAATGAATATTATGCAACAGAAGTTTCAAATCACCTTAAAATGACATAAAAATTACTAGTAATTAATTATTTATAAAACTGTGTCATCCCTGATGACATTTTGATTTGAAGGGAGAGATTGCAAACATTCGAGTTCTGGTGGTAATTCAAGTTCAGAATCTGAAATAGATGCTGGATGATATAAAATAATATTATATTAAATTAATATCAAATAAAATGTTACAATTTTGTTTCTTTTCATCTACCATTACCTACCATCTAGCAGTAAATATTAATAGGATGCAAACACTTATTTTTATTCCTAGATCATACGTATCAATAGTAATTTTCTAAACTTTATAATAATTGGCTAGGTAAGTATTACTTCTACATAACCCAATTACCTACTAACCTTTTTAAATTCAAATTAAAGGGCCATTTAGATGGAGAGTTTCTCGTCTCGAAGATACGATTATCCAAAGAACATAAAAAAACTTTCCTCGTCTAAACATTCGCGATTATCGCCATTTCACATGAGCGATAATCGCCTCGCCTTTGAATATTAAACGTCTCCGTGTAAACAGAACTCGAAAGCAAAAATCGTATTTCGAGTTTCTGTGCCAGCCGTTTTTCGAGTGCAGTGCGCGAGGGTTTGATTACCACTGCTTTTCTAAGACAAGAATTAATGAAACCAGAGCGAAAAAAAAATTTGGGTTAAGAAATGTAATAAAATTTGAAGAAAAAAAAAAAAACAATTTAAAAATGTGTATTTCTATTAAATTCATCTTAATATTATCGGCGGTTCCAAATTTGAATGATTTTTGCGTCATTTTGATATGTCCATAGTCAATACCGAAGTAATCACTGAACTCACTGAACCATAGATTTAGTATATCCACTAAATCTATGGTTCGAACGGATTTGTACGATAATCGTATGAACTTGAAAAAATGTCATACGAAATCGTGTTTAGACAAGTCGAAAACTCGTAAGCAAGAATCTCCTTACCACATATTTCTCTGTGTATACAGTCGAGGGGGCAATTAAGTTACTTGCGAATCTCGTATGACATAATCATAGGCGAGATTTTAGTTCTTGCCTGAATGTAAACATTATGATACGATAATCTTATGGCGATTATTGCTTACGATAATCGCGTACGATTGTTCGTCGCGAAGCGTGCGATAAAATCTCTCCATCTAAATGGGCCTTAAGGGAGCAGGCCGTGGGCAGAGCCAACCTTAATAATGAGCATTGAAAAAATGTTCTCCTATGCCATCATTCGTTGCCTAGCAATGTTTTGTTATTAAACATTCTACATCGAATTTGGCTAGAGTATAGTTACATGAGCTGCAATATGAGTGCATCGGAACTTTTGCAGTTCCAGTGTTATCGAAATGCACTTCGTTAAACTAAACCCTACTACAGTGCTGAGTAATTCTAAAAAATAGTGCCATACTAATTCGTTTTCCTTTAGTTTTTTTCTAATATATGTATATAATTTATTTAATACATCAAGAAGCTCATAGAATGCGATGCATTTTAATAAATAGTATTTTATATATTTAAAACGTTTTAAAGTATCTAACGCCATCTATAAAGCTCTATCACAATTCTCCATTGTAAAAATTTATACAGGGTAACATTTTATTAATGCCCCTAAACTTTAATGGGATGATTACACTTGCTAATTAAGTATAACTTGAATAAGAATATCGGTTTGTTTCATATGCCATCTTGCCCTGTGTGTTAATTATGTTGTATATGTGTTGTGCGTGATTTAAAATAAAATTGCATTTATTGCATATTAGAAATTACGGTGACAACCAGAACACTAATGAAATGGGGAAACGCTCTTTAAATCATATTTCACGTCTCTCTCGCCCGCGCCTTATTGCCCTCTTTCTGGCTTTATCACAGCACGAAACAATGCTCGCGCTCAATAAATCACAAATAAATTTAAGAAAATCGTATTTTTCTATTAATCCTACTGTAGGTTTAATTCCTAAGTGGCTTCCAGACGATCATTGAGCAGAAAACAAGGGATGCAAATTGGTTCTTCTCGTATTGTAAATCGGTATAACTGTTTTATTTTTGTCATCTGACAAGAACCTGCAAAAGTAGTTCGTATTACGTCATATTGAAGTCAAACAACATTATATACTGTTAATTGCAAAAACCAAGCAAATTTTAAGTCATTAGTATTAGAAATATCAAAATAATAAGCTACTCAAAAGTAGTGTTACTCTTCTGAAAAATAAGCTTTTTGTAGATAATGTTATTTGTCATTAGCGACGATTGACTGATAATAATCATCACTAATAAACTGTCAAAGAACACTAATAAAATGTAACCCTGTATATTTTTCACATGGGGTTTACACGTGCAATAGGGCATTAGACTTAAATTTTGTTTTCATGCTAAAATCGATTCACATGAACACGACGAAAATTAATCAGGAATTCGTGTTTCAATATTTCAACTAACACCAGAAATATGAATGATGAAAGTAGTTAGTGACTAGTTACATGACGTCATTATGGGTCATGACATCACAGTATTTTCTTCTACCCCAATGTATGTAGATGTTCAGCATTGTAATCTCAGGGTAGCCACCCCTAGGATCGGTTTAGGTCGATGTAGTCGGACTTTTAGTTAAATATACAAAACTGTCAATTATTCTGCTGGTCTTGTCATAACTAAATTTGCATTTAACTTTCGGGATATTGGCATCTAAAGTTTTTTTTTTCCAGTAACAAGTACAAAATGCGCTAATTTTCTCAACAATCAAACTGTAGTCTGTTTCAATCCATTTTAGACAAAAAGTAAACAAGCAGGTTTGGTTACAATTCTAAAACAATCACTCAATAAATCGAATAAGCAACACTTTCATGTATATTTCGAAGACTTTGACTTGATATCTCATCACTGTTTCCAACAATATTCATTTGAATAACATCGTGAAATTTATCGTATTTGAAAAATGGTAGTCAAAAAGTGAGGTTATGTTTTAATTATAAAGGTATGATTAGTCTACGATTGCATAGTGCTGTGCAATTAAAGTTTTTGTAATCGATTAGTAAATCGAAAATATCAATCGCAATCCAACGAGTATAAGATTTCAGAAATTTTAAATATGCTTTTATAGATTATGTAAGGAAAGCCGCTAGAATGACTCAATTAAACAAATAGATTGATTCAATTAATTAATTGATTTGTAGTTGGCATTACAATTGGCTATCACTAAAGCGTTTATGGTCGGGTCAGTGTGTTTACTGTTTGTTTAAAATTAATTGAAACGAAGTATAAATAATTTGTAAAAATACCGCTTATGGGGGCTTTTGCAAACTCAGCGAAGTTGTTGTTTATGATGTTAGTAATATAGTCCTGAGACGTATTTTAAAAATAACCCTGTATACAAGGCATCGAGTATATAACCAGAAATAGAGACGAAATGTCATTTAATTTGTTTGAAAACTATTCCGCCAAATCATTACTGTGACAACTGCGCTCCGATTGGCCAGCCCGAATTCGAAACAATTGACGGGTGTCGTCAATTGTTGCACTTCAAATCGACCAGTCGACCATTATAGCAAAGTTCAAGTTAATTGAACTTTGCTATAATGGACGAAAATTGCAAAATCACGTATTTAATTTTTAATTGCCGATGAAATGTGATTCCGTTTGTTTTGCAATTAGATGTTAGGCTGTTTTACCCACACCACCGAATGGAACAGCCCCCTATAGTTAGAGATATAATCTTTATTACAATAAATACTGAATATTTTTGGAATATACGGAGACGTACACACAGGTCAGTTGTTGGCGCTGTACTATTTCAGTTTTCTAATTTGTGATTTCAGTGCAAACGTTGATATTGAGTTGATATTTAAAAGTGATATAAGGCCCATTTGCCCGATGAGTTGCCAGGGATGAATGGCCCTCATTTCGTCTCTATTTCTGGTAACATACCCGATGATACAAGGTGACTACGAATGTTGGCCTTCCGATGCTTAAAAGGGTGAATTTCCTCTTTAGGTTCAACTCATATTGGCGAAGAGTCGAAGCGTCGCGTCGCGTCCTGTTTTTCAACTACAACGCCTGGCAACACTGGCATTAGTACGCCCGGATCACAGTGTGGTCGGCGTCTGACGCCTCACTGCACCCAAGTTGCAGTTGAGCGGCTGCGCGCGTCGACGCGCGACTCCATACTTGTATAACACAAATTTGTATACACAAATAATGGGAAAATGAGATGAATATGCTATAGGCGAAAAACATGACGCGTCGCAACTCTGCGCCAGTGTGAGTTGAGCCTTAGGTGTTTGGTTTAAATGCTTGTAACAATTAACGTATTTATATTTATCAATGTCCACGAATAGCATTTAATTCAGCACATGTGAAATACCCTATTAGGAGAATTGCAGTTTCTAAAGTGAATATGGACGAATATATTACGTTATAACAAAAAAAAAGTGTGAAAAAAAAAGTAAAATATATTTTTTTCTATTTTATTAAAAATTTTGCACGATTTTCAATCATCATCAGATCTTGTTGTACTTAACACAAATGTATCATAAATAAACGAATGGAATGACAGGATACCTATACTTCATTTAGTACAGCTTCATTTGAAAAACACTCAAACCGTGTGCTGAGTGGGTACAGTATAATTTCAAATATCATCACTTAACACGAGATTTTGTGTGAGTATAATAATAGCCTTAATGTCCCACTGTTCTACACAGGTCTACTAACAAAGAGCATTAGGCCATTTACAATCGTTTACTAAAAATTCTTCAACTCGTTACTACTCTAAAATAACTGAGACCTGTGTCAAGCAGTAGAAAGTGGGCTTGAAAACTTAGAAAAGCAGCTAGAAAAAGTTTTAAAAAATCACTTTAGAGGCGGGACCAGTATTATGATGCTTATACTAAACAAAATAGAGTACCTTTTCATTTGTCACGAGAAACAGCTACACTTAATAACCCCCTAAAGCTAGAACTATTAACATTTTTTTATTTATTTAAAAACACCTACCGTACGTTTTTTCTTTTTTTGTAGAAATAACATTGCTTTAAAAAAAATCTACAAATCATATACTCTTAACTCGATTACGTTTAAGTTGTCACTTAATTGTCTAGCGGAAAAAACGCTGCTGAATTTGCGTACGCGCAATCACGCGTCAGGGCGCAAAATATATATATTTTTTATACTTATTATGGATTTACGATCGAGGCAAAGTACACGTGCAATTTCAGCTGCGTAATTTCAACTAGCTTAGCGATGTACCCTAGCAAACCGTGCCAGACGCTATGCCAACTAAGCCACGGAACCAACCAGCGGACCTCGCGAATTTTTCTATGCGCTTTTTGGCGGATCTATGTATTTGGTTTTGGCGGATCTATGTACTTCCCTTGACGAACTCTCACAAGGAGCTCTACTGCGACTAAACAGTCTGGTTCCAGTGCAGTCAGCTCGAAGGAATTTCCCTTTGTTTGTTTGGTCTTTATATAAAAATTAACTTGTCAAATACCCTATGAAGCATAAGACGGACTCCAAGTACTTGTTTTCGTGAGCAAAATCTCAAAAACAAAAGAATAACGATATTGTGCAACACTAAACTAATCGCTAATCTGTGATCGACTACTAATTCAAATTGGCTTCAATTCGTTCGAAAGCAAACTACGCTCTATGATGAACGCAAAAAATTAAGTATACCTAGACCTGAAAGTTTTTCTGCACGCGCAATTTTAGATACATAATTTGTGTTTTTTTTAATGTTAAATAGACACACCCTTTGCCACCATTTCATCCGATCTCAAGGCGAGCTATTCAAACGCTAGATTTTAGGAGGTTTTGGAGGCATCGGAGCGCAGAAAATTATGATATTTAAATATGAACAGGTGGAGAAAATTTGACACAGATCCAGCGTTGACAAGCACCCGATGACTGATGGGGCAGCGGGCAGTGCGGCGTGTCGTTAAACCGCAGGACAAAGGTTCTCTATAGAATTCATTCACTACAGTAGATACAAAAGCTTAGTTTGCGTCCGCTGTTGTTTCACAATTGAAACGTACGTACGTTTATTTGTATTACATAAGTCTTTGTATAAACAAAATGTTGTCTATATGTTTAAGATTATGTGTGTATAAATATTACGAATAGAGCAACACTCAAACAAACCCTTTAGGTTTAAGACTGCCTGGTACTTAGATAATAAATTATTGTAATATGAGCAAATAAATAAATAAAAAAAAACCAATGCCAAATTAAGTGACAACTTAAAAAGGTCCGCTCTCAATATCTGAAGTTTTAGTTTAACGGGCTCATATAGGTGATATCGTCCCACGGATGGCGGTACAGGGGCTGCTTCATGCGCTTCTGGTCGAGGTAATGCCCGACAAGGCCGATAGTTCGGCCTAAGACGAATAGTGCGTTGATTGAGCCCATTTGGATGTAGTTGTTTCCTTCTTCCCTGTTAAAAAAAGAATGAATATATATTGTAATTCGTTTATAGAAGCAGTGGAGTGAATGAGTGAAATTAATGAGTTAAGTGAATGAATAACTTGAACGAGTGACTTAAATTTGAGACAGGAATGAGTAGCTTCAACGAGTAAAATGAATGAATAAAGTGAATGATTAACTTGAATAAGTGAAATAATTGGGTGATGTTTGAAACATGAAACACCAGTGACTTGAACGAATGAATAAGTGGAGTGAATGAGTGAAATGAATTAGTATGCAGTGACTAATACAAATTTATTTAGTTTTCTCCTCACAAAGCTACAAGATGTATATTAAGAGTAAGGTACTTGGTAATAGTTACATTTGTGGGAGACTGGAGTCTAAACTAGGTCTAGCTTGTACTCACTCTCCAGGCCCCCACCTCTTGTAGTACAACACATGAAGTGGATAATGGAGAGACAAGAGAGACTACATGAAAACATTATATTATGAATGAGAGAATTGAACGAATCATTGGTAAGAACGAATGAATGGTAGCCAAGGCAGGCACTTACTGTGTGAACAGCTGACAATGGCGCAGCATGTCAACCATGGCGCAGGCGACGATGCCGTCCACGTTGAGGATGAGGTTGGGCTTCTTGCGGGTGGTGATGGCTTCCACGTCCAGCGCGTAGCGCGTCACGGGCCACGCCGGCCAGCGGGACGTCACGTACGCCTTCAATTCGCGCACGCGCGAGTCCGGGTTGTTTATTGACTTCACTCTGCGCATTAAAGTATTTACTCGAAACATTGTTCAGTAGACAAAAATCATAATCATCATAAACCTACTTGTACGTCACACTGTTGAGCACGGGTCTGCCTTCAGATGAGGTTTTAGGTCATCATAGTACGCCACCCTGGCCCAAAGAGAGTTGTTAACCTTCAAAGCACAGGTTTCATCACAATGTTTTCCTTCAAATTACATTTCGTACAAAAATTCCGAAAAACTCAAGAGGTGCGAGCCAGAGAAATATAGTAAATTTGACAGCTAAAGAAGGCGATAGTATGTAACGTTGAATGCAATCAACGAAACAATAAACAAACAATTATTAGCATAATTGAGTTTTAAAAAAACGTAAATTTTATTGAAACATTATATAATATGACTAAAAATATTTGAAGTACTGTTTTCGCACGAATTCCAAAATAAAATGCAATTTGGAGTTACTCTGAAATGTCCCGAGAATAGTTACGTCTTCAAGCTATTTTTTTAAATAATAGTGTTGTAAGCAATTAATCGCCGAATTTCACCGAAAAAATATTAAAAAAGAAATTACAAAAAATTATGAACATTATTTGAGATTGTTTGTTGTTGACATTGACAACTTCTAACTTATTGCCAGCCAAATAATTGAATATTTATGAAATCCTTGGTTTCTTGGTAATTTAATCTTTTTATGTAGTTATTTTATCGATGAACTTATACTTATTTACACTAAATTCTGGTAATAAACCATTTATAAATAACATAAAATCAAAATTAAAAGAATTGGATACAGTTACTCGGAATGTGGGACAATTTTACGAAAGAGGAATTGCTACAGAATTGCAAGAAGTTCTGTAAATGAATTGCTTTTAACAGAATTGCACGATTTGGCCTTTTAGGCCCCCAGAACAACAATGAACCGAAAAATAATCTAAACAATCATAAACTCTTAGAATTTTTAATCGATGTCTCGTGAAAATCGTATAATGTGATTAGTGATATGATTAGTCCACGATGACAAGTGTCAAATTTGGCCTCTTATTTGGTGACGACTATAATATGGTTGGCATTATTATTAGACATAACTCGTTGATGGCTACCACGACAGTCAGCTTATATGGTGATGTGATGTGATGTATATATACTTTTGTAATATTCTTAGTGTTTAAAATAAATAAATAAATAAAATAAATAAATAAAATCATGGGACATGTGTTTACCAGCTGAAGAGCTCCTTGTGAAAAAGTTCGTCCAGGGAAGTACTGCCACCTTACCTATTTCTGCCGCCAAGCAGTAATGTAAACGTAACTGCGTTCTGGTTTTGAAGGGTAAGAATCCTGGTGATATTAAAGGCACATGGGACTTGTCAACTCATGTCTCAGGGTGACGGACGCAGTGGCAGTGCTCCTCAGATCTTTGCAGTTATATATAACCATCGCGAAAACCTAATATCTTAATAACTACAAATTTTTTTAGTCGAGCAATTTGGATATAATATCCGAGGCCAAAGAACGGACAAAGCTATGAAAACCGAGGCCACACCAGTGAATAAAGTAAAAATCAATTAGAACCTCAACTACGTAGTCGTTACCTGTGTCCGATGCCCATGATGAGTTCACCCTTAGCTCTCTTCTCATTGACAAACTCCTGCGGGTGCTGACCCTTATCGTACGCGGCACAGAAATCTGCCGCCGCGCGATCCAGCGCTCCACCAAATCTGTCACCCTGGTAAGAAATAATTATAATTTTTTTATAAAAAAAACTGACCTCAAAATTTCGTGGAATTACATCTATTTGCCAAGTTTTATTGAAATCGGTTACCGGAAAGTGCGTGAAACCGAATTCGTCCCCTAGTTTGTCACGCTAGAGGTGGAATACTTTCTTCAAATTTAAATGGGATCAATACTGAGGTACCCTCTTTCCAACAAAAAAAAAGAATAATTAAAATAAGTTCACAAATGCCGGAGCAAAAACAAAGAAGTACAGTCGAATTGAGAACCTCCACCTTTTTTAAAGTCGGTTAAAAATGCCGTGGTGAAATATCAAACAGCTATTTTTATTAAAATCAGTAGTTATCGAAATGGCGTCAGCTATAATTTACATTGATAAGTTCCCTGTCTACAATAGAATGGTAATATAAAGCAAGTACAATACATAAGATTTTATTGAGCATCATGATGTTTTATTACAATGGTATTGATTTATTTATAATATATACATAATCAAAGCCGCCTGTCGTTATTAAAATATCGTGACTAAACATTGATTTCGATACTAATAGACCTATTGTCAAAATAAGAATAAAGAATACAATAACACGATTAGGTAGCATTAGAACGTCGTATAGGTTTACCAGAATCCGATGACATTTAGACAAATTTAAATTTGTAGTGGGCAACATCAATATAGTAGGAAAAAATGTACTAGATACTTCATATATATTTTAATAGACCAGAATTGTTCTACCCTCGTACATGTTTTAAGATCTGTATGAATTTGTGTGTGAGGAAAGCAAATAATTTCTGACACATTTTAAAATTCAACAAAAATATATCAATTACATTGTGGGTTACGTTACGTTTGCAGTTTGAAGTAACTCGCATTTACGCCAATTATGTTTTTTTGTCAACCATTGTCTACACACTGTAGTCTTGCCGACCAGCACCAGTACCAACAAAAATTACGTACCACATACATTGATGTGGCTTCGTTAAAATTTCAAGAATCAAGTTTATTTACTAATCGGCAAGATTTGAGACCCGCTACTAAATAGTAAATTGTGACTTACACGCACCTAATTCGCCGTTGATTTCGCGATAAACATTATTAAAATGTCTTTTGCTTGATATTGAAGCGGATTCTCGATAATTATTGCTACAAAATCGTTATTTTCAAGCGAAAAAAGTTTAGTAGACAGCCATTTGATACAAGTCATATTTTGAATCGACACGTGACAAGTTAACATTGCCAGGTGAAAGTCGTTCGATTTTTCTAATGTTTAATGCAATGGGATTCTTGAAATTGGGTCCCAAGATGCTGGCAGTGTACCCCCTTTGTATGGCTAAGTGCTAATGAGTTGTGCAAAGTAGTGTAGATAGTGTATTTGAATTTCAAAGGGTGGTTTTTATAAAAACATGTTGATTGCATGGTAACTTACAATTGTAAGCAGCCCACTGACAACTGAAGAGATGAGGTCCTTGCCGGCTCTCGCCGTGACCATGGTGTTGTGTGCGCCGGAAACAGCAGGTCCGTGGTCGGCGGTCACAATTAGAACAAGTTCGAAGAATTTACACGCCCAATCTGGTAGCTCCCGCTGGAACCTGTGATTATTTCAAAATTAGATTAAAATTGCCAAACGGTTACCATCCTGTCGAGAATAACGTTGTAGCAGTTTTTTGGTAATGTTGACTGCTTTGACTTATTGGCTGATATTTCGTTTATTGTACCTACTCGTTCTATGAGACACTATCACCCTATTGCAGTTCCCTTAGTGAGGACTATCTATAGACAAAATAGTTTTCTATGTAGAGCTAACAAGAGCTTGGATAGTGTGCTGAGCAATCATGACCTTGAAGTTGATATATTCAATTGTAATGTTGATGCACTAAAGCGTAAACTCACGGATATTCTGTTTACCTAAGTTAATTAAATAAATTGTGATTACCGCAGGTATTGGGTTATTATATTTATGTAAGTGCACGATGCATTGACCTACCAACAAATGGACCTAGGGTCTAATACAAAAACCACGAAAAAATGGCCGAGGTTAACATATACAAACGTAGTAACACGTAACGAAATATAAAAAAACTAAAACATTTAATTTAAATTGTAACGTCATTCCAGTACTGCCTAAATTTGCTTACAACAATTTAAGGGCCCAAAAACACCATATTCAGCTTCTACTGGAAACCTATCAAAATGCACCATATTTAGCTTCGACTAAAAATTACTTGAACACAAGAGTAATGGAATATATGTAGCTTTTTTCGTAAATATTAATTAATTTATTTATATATATTATTATGTCGAATTTTGTACAAATTCACTTAAAGGTATAATAAAGAGTTGGGCAGATACATATATACAATTATTACTACAAATGTGAAAATAAGCGTGTACTATAAGAAATGTACCGATATTCTAACTAAACGTACTACCGATTTATAATAAAACCGTTACGCTTTCGAGTAATTTTGAGGCCTTTTACATAGATAAAATTAGCTTTTGTTTTGTAATCTTCGTAAAAACAAATTATGAAAATTCGAGCTAATGTTATTTCGGGCAAATGTATTTTCTGACTTCTGATAGGTAATCCCATGCCGTAAAACGAGTACAACAATATTTTTTTAGTTATTACTAACGTTTAATAAAAAAATCATTTTAAAAATAGGATTAAAATCAAAGCAACTCTACAGTTTCTTTGTTCTAAATATTTCAATCGCTTGTGGTTCGAACAATTGAAAATGACCAAGAAGTTTATATAAGCTTCTTAAAACTGACGGAATGGGTCTCTTTCCATCTTTTGCGCATGCAATGAGTAGAAAAAGGACAGTGCTTTTGTAATTTATATTTATGATTCAGTTATATATAAATTAAATACTATAATACTGTACAAAATAACACTTAAATGACAACTATGATAACACAATATATTTGTTTAGTGAAAATATGATACAAAATCCTCGTTTTCACACTTTACTGCAGTAATTTTTACAAGTTATTATTATTGGTATTGCACGATTGACAACCGCGCTGTCACTCGAACAAACGAAGACTATTGCGCGATTGACGCTCTGTATGCGATTTTAACGATCTTAACCCTACAGGGGTGGACACTTATTAGCGCGAACCCGACGTCCATTTATTGGTAGGTCAATGGCACGATGTTAAGAAATACTGTTTATTGTTCATTTGTTTAACCCTCGTGTATGATTTGTCTGAAGCTATAGGTGGAAACCTGTAATTGGCTTTATGTTTATATTTCTGTTTTTATTAAATGTAAGAAGCTGTTGGTTTTCCATAAATAAATAAATAAATAAAAACAAATTAAAACTAGAATTTTGTTTCATTCACTGTTTTGGTAGGTTCGACACGAACAAAACAAATATAGTACCCTCATTATTTTTAACATTTAATTTTTGATAATTTTAACGTGGGTAGGTTTTGTTTGACTGGGCTCATTGTCTACCTTGTCTATTTATTTACGTAAAGACATTAATTAATTATATATTAATCCAACAGTACACACGGAAACTCCCTAAATATTTCTGTGTGTTAGTGTACATATTTTTAGTAAAATAACAAATTGATCTCTTAGCCAGTATTTGTATTACCACTTCTTCATGTCAACTTATCTGTGGTTGCGATTTGACCTTCTTAAGGTCGAAATACTCTCGTCCATGACCATATTTGGTAATGCGTTTTCGAAAAGACGTAAATTTCACGGAGGGGGTTGGCCTGCAAATAAGCCCCCAGCCCCTGGTCCACTTTTTCTCGTCATTACTGTACTGCTGAGTTAATAAATAATTTGCGTAAAACTACTCCTGCTTACTCTGGATTTGAGATCGTACCACCGAGCTACGTCTGTAGCGTCACACAGAACGCATACTCCGCGTGTCTACCTTCCCGCGGACCACTCCGTCGGTCTATCTTCGCTCCGAGCCTACCCTCACCGCGGGTCTACCTTCTCCGCGTCACCGTGGTCACGGCAGCCTAGTCGCCTCAGACCAGTGCGGCCCACTGAGGCCGTGACTAGCGTTCGGTTACGTCATTCGCGAGTGCTTCGTAAATTAAGGTAAGTGTCCCATTGCGTGTCATCGCTGAGCGAACTATCCGATGTACCGACCCTTGAGCAATTTTTTGTAAAAATTTGAAATATACTGGTGAAACCATCTATTGAATTTTATTTTTCTGGAAACCAGGGGCACTAAAACCCAAGCATTTTAGTATTAGTTTTGTAATATCAGCAATAATAAATTTAGTCTGTTATGATACCTAAGAGTAGGGTAGTAGCACACAGTCCAGGCGTCATAAATTCTGTAGGTGAGATACCAGGCGTCTGCTGGGAAAGCCCTGGTTGGTCAGCATTACAGTTGGTAAGTTTGCACAATGTTTATTACTAACTTAGGTACAGTATTTGTTGACAAAACAGCCTGAAGATAGAGTATGACGAATCAATAACAGAATTAGAATGAGACCCACCACTTGTACTAAAGGTATAAAAGGGCATGAAGCGGTGACAGAGGAAGGGCTGTAGGTGTGTGTGTGGAGGCCCGTCATAGGGATCAAAGGATCCCACTAGTTCAGATCCAGAGGATCGATGTTAGGTCAATGACCTATTAGAACAATGTAGTCCAATGCAGTAGAATGAAATTAAAAGAGGTATACGTAAAGAAAGATACTCTATTAAAGGCTATTGTGATAGAAAACAATGTCGCATATGTAATGTACATTATGATTGAACCCTAGGCGTGGCGACACATCCTGGTCTGCCACGCTGAGGTCCCGCGTTCGTTTCCCCGGGCCGGGAGAAATATTTGTAAGGTCTACATTTATTTATCTCGTGAGTTTGGGTGTACACAGTTTATGGTTAACTATGTGTGTATCTATAGGTATTCAAGGCTCTGCAGTTCACATCTACTAATCCCGAGTCACTGATAAGCGTCCAGCTACGCTTTTCAAGTGAATCTAAGGTGGATAGTTGGTATTTAACAGAACCATCCCACAGGTGGCAGCAGTAAGTACTCCATACACGATCGGACTTGTGCTTGGTACAGCTGAAGCAACTGACTACAGGTCCATTCCAAGTAGCTGGAAGACGGTTGGTATATTGTTGACTATGGATATATTACGAAATGTCGGATTCAAGTCAAAGGGACTTCGTTTTGTGGAGGACAGACACGCCTACGTTTTGGTAACGTTAAATTTGACAAGACTGGATTTGCTCCAATCGAAGACTCTCAAAACATTGCCAATATTTAATTGTGCAGTGCACAACGGGAAGTGAGCGTACTCCAATACCTATCTGGAAAATAGGGAGGGTGCTGTACGTGCACCCGGGGCGGCTCACCTAAGGCACTAGCCTTTTGAGAAAAAAATGAAGTCAGTGCTGATCTGAGGTCAGGACCTGACTTAGATGGTCCCTGTGCGTGCTTGATTGCACAGGTTATAGTGCCCTACTCCTGCATAACCAAGAGGCTGATAGGAAGGGGCATTATAAACAAAACTTATGTAGAAAGATATGGGGACGTTACTCACCAAAGCAGACTGATGGTTCCGCCAACGCCTAGCTGTCTCTCGAGGATCTGCGTGATAGGCACTCCGCAGTACGAAAGCTCTTGCCCACGTTCGTCACAGATCGTGCTTATGAACGCAGCTGGTTTGCGAATGAGACCCAATTTCTGTTAATCAAAAGAAAATAACATTTTAAATGTCATTATTAAATTAAGAACTCACGGTAATGTCCGAAAATGTGACAGACTTATGCTTACCCTCGCCCAATCGTAGTCCATTGGTACTTTCGGAGGCTCGATCTCTTCTTTAACGATAATCTTCCCTTCGTTTACTAATTTCTCGTACACCTTGAAAAATAAGAATAAAAATAATAATAAGAAACTTATATATACCACAAATATTGGTAACAATTATTTGAAACATTAAACTTCATATACAAAAAGTCATCTGTAAGTTAACGACTAATATAAATCAAGTTAACAGCCAATTAAGTAACGCACGCACACACACGCACACACTCAACTTAGCCCCGCACTAGGGAAACCCTGTGTCGCGGTTGCCATGTACACACTCATAGACAACCACAAATTACACACAAACTCACGAGATAAATAAATGTAGGTCACACAAATATTTCTCACGGCCCCGGAATCGAATCTTGGACCTCTCCGTGGCAGTCCGGCATGGTAACCGTTCGGCCACGGAGTCAGTTAAAAACTTCTTTCATGATTTATTCATTACGAGCCAATATTATATTATTACAATATCTAATGTGGTTGGCTAAAAGACTATGTCTCAGGCTGTTAAACCATTTAAATGTCATATAATGACACGGCCGACACGTCAAGGTCAGACATTTTTATTCCTGTGTTTCATTTGATTCACGTTTCTGGAGTATTAGTATCTGTGTTTTTGATATACTCATCATTGAATTTTGGCTATTCTTTTATTTATTTATAAACATGTGTTACACATTAACACACACATGCACCTTGACAAGTATCGCAACATGGAAAGGGAGAGGGGGTCTTTACGGACATTCTCTGGATCGAACCCGATTAACGGCTACAATGTAAGCTGTCAAATCACGACAATGTACGTTTCGTCGAACGCTGTAACTTTTATTCATATAACTGTAGAATTACATTTTCTGCAATTTTTAATAAATTTAAAAAAATTTGTTAATCATCGAGTATATAACCAGAAATAAAGTCGATATGTCTTTTATTTTGTTTTGAAAACTATTCTGCCATATCATTACTGTGACAACTGCGCTCCGATTGGCTAGCCCGAGTTCGAAACAATTGACGAGTGTCGTCAACTGTTTCACTTCAAATCGACTAGTTTAACTTGAGCTTTGCTATAATGGAAGAAAATTGAAAAGTTACATATTTAATTGCCGATGAAATGTGATTCCGTTTGTCTTGTAATTAGATGTTTTGCTGTTTTTCCCACACCACCGAATTGTTAGAAATATTATCTTTATTACAATAAATACAGAATATTTTTGGAATATACGTAGAAGTACTCACAGGTCAGTTGTAGGCGATATAATATTTCAGTTTTCTAATTTATATTATTAATAATTTGTGATTTCAGCGCAAACGAGAGTTGATATTTAAAAATGATATAAGGCCCATTTGCCTGATAATTTGACAGTGGTGGATAGCCCCTATCTCGTCTTTATTTCTGGTTGTATAATCGATGCAGTTAATGGATAATTTTCCTATATAGTTTTAGAAATTTTTTGACATGAACTGTAACCTCGGTACACAATTGGGCCCAAAAATGAAGGTATCCTTTCCATTGTATAACACATTTCATATCGATCGGATCTACAACAGCTGAGAACAGAAGCTCATCAAACATAGTTAAGCAATAACCCAATTAAATAAGCCTTAAAATAAAACCAATTAAATAAGCCTTAAAATAAAAAAGAGTTCGAAGCCATTGACGGGTGTCGTCAACTGTTTCACTTCAAATCGACCAGTTAACTTGAGCTTTGCTATAATGGACGAAAATTGCAAAATTACATATTTAATATTTAATTACCGATGAAATGTGATTCCGTTTGTTTTGTAATTAGATGTTTTGCTGTTTTTCCTACACCACCGAATAGAACAGCACAGCAATGTTAGAGATATTATGTTTATTACAATAAATACAGAATATTTTTTGGAATGTACGGAGACGTACACACAGGTCAATAGTTGGCCTGTCTATATTTCAGTGCAAACGAGAGTTGATATTTATAAGAGCTGTATCGCTAATGTGTTACAAGGAATATATGGCCCTTATTTCGTCTCTATTTCTGGTTATATACTCGATGGATAAGACAGAAAGACTTTAATATGACAATCAGAAGATATATCGATCTGATAAATGTATATTTGATAAACCTCCCCGTGTATATTTATTTCAGTTGACAAAGCTGTGTTGCCATAACTAAAACTTATTTTTTATTGCGAATATTAACTCGGTAAGATACCGCACTAGAATTATTCGTTCTTTTTAACCGACTTCATGTTAATTTGGTAATGAACTATACATTATGAACAACAAGGACAACGATATGAAATTGCGTATATAGCTATGCCGATCACTTGAATTTGACAGTTAAATGTGGATATAATAGCTTTTTTTATCGCAGCGGCATACTACGGGGCAGGTGTAATACAGTCCACTGATATTCAAGATGAATAAAACAAAAGTGAAATATTGGAAGTTTTACTAAAGGACTTTACAATACTCTACCCATTCCAAATTACAAGACTTAAATATAGTTCATACCTTTCGAACGGATGTCCCTAGGGAGTCGAACGACTCCGGCACCGTGGCACCAAAGGACTTGAGTCCGGCGTTCTTGGCGACGGCCTTCTCTAACGCGGAGCCGGCCAGGGAACCCGCATGCCCGAACTGCACTTCCGATGTGAACATATCTATGGTAAATAATAGTGGCGTTAAAATTTGACAAAGACATTGATTTACAGTGCTTCTATTTTCTCAATGTCCCTCGATAATCACCGGATTTCTGGATGCACACGAATATTAATTTTCATACTCATTATTTATTAGATTGAAAATCTATAACAAATCGAGTTCTTAGGTTTTCGCGAGTGTTACACATAGGAAATGAAACTATTTTTCCGGATTTAAATCGCGTATATTTGTTTTTTCAAACAAACCGACGTTTCGGGCCCTTTACAGGTCCCATGGTCACGGTTGGCTGAGGTGGTACAGTCTTCAACCAGTTATGTCTAATATTGATGCAAACCACCCTATTTTTTCACTATAGTTACAATAGTTACTAATTAAATACCTTATTTTTAATTTTACAAAGAAAACATTCCAATTTACGCTACATTAAGTATTACAAATTATTTTATTGAATGAATTTTTATTATGTTCAATTTATTATTAATTAATAATAGAAATTAGAATAAATTAAAACATATTAATTATTACTGTAGTCTTATGTCTGTTTGGGATTTCTCATTAGAGGATATACTGGATCCCAAACTGGTGGTACGGAGAAACCATCTTCCCTGTTGAAATTAGGATGTTTTTTAATTTCAATGGCCTCTCGCAGCATCCTGGGTAGATAACGGACTTCTTTTTTTTTTTTCACTTTTCACATTTCACTTCTCATGCTCTTAAAGTTCGTATTTATGCTGGGTGTAGGCTGCATAAAATAGGATTTTATACTCTAGTGCATAAAATAAAAAAACCATCACATCAAATGTCTAATTGTTGTAATTTTACATTTAATTTTAATTAAATAATCGTTTATTTGTAATATTGCTGTTTAATTTCCTCGCAATCGAAGTGAAAAGCAGAGTGTATAACTCGTTCATAAAACCCATTCAACCCTCGACTTAAGTATCCGTCGGATAAACTCGTCTCGGGTAAAGTGACGCGTTTTATGCACTTGTCATACAATCTACTATTTTTCCGGTTATTAATCATTTTAATTCAAGCGAGAAGAAGTTTGCCGGGTGACATTGAGAAAATAGAAGTACTGCACATGAACTTACTGTAGGCGACTTTAGCCTTTATCCATACGAACATATACAGTACATCAATATTACAATTTATAAAACGACATCTCTTGTCAATTCCTGGTATGCTTAAAGCAGGGTTTCCTAACTTTTTCATGGATCCCACTTAAGAGACCCTTTCCGAAAAGATGAAGAAGAAAGGCTCGCGGGCAGCATTGGCTCGCGTCTCGCTCTCCAATAATGGATGGCCGTCAAAGGACGCGATTTTTTTATGATATCAAGTTACGGGACAAACAAGTTATGCGCCTGATCGTAAGCGACACCTGCCTGTTCGCATCACAAAGATCCGAGGGGCACTGCCACTGCGCCCGTCACCCTGAGACTTAAATTGACAGGTCCCATGTGCCTGTAATTTCACCAGCACGCCTACCGTTCAAAACGGAACGCAACAATCCTCACATTAGTACAAATGTTATAACAATTGGTCAGATACCTACTTACCTATTCAAATTCTAATTACGTAAGCAAGATCTAGATTAAATAGCGGCCTATTCCACCAGCTGTCCCCCCTGGCGGAGACAAGTGGTTTTTTTTGCAGTTTTCGCTACCACACCATCAATGGTTGGGATAAGTGGAAATTCATTTCTACACATTTATTGACAAAAAATGTTCTTTACCTGTGCCATTATTGGTTGCCTAGCAACGTTTTGTTATGAAACATTTTATATAGAATTTGGGCATGGTGCGTACAGGTCTGGCGAGTGCTTCATGGGTGCAATATATGTGGCGAAAGAACCCCACGCGAACACAACGTAATGCACGTGTGCAGATCGCCAATCTGTACATAGTTCTTTACTCACCGGAGCAAGTTCCGATGCACCATGCGACCATGGGTTTCTTGATGATGCCATCCCGCATGGCTCTGCACACATGGTATTCCTCTACTCCGCCTACTTCGCCTAGGAGTACAAGCATTTTCACATTCGGATCCGCTTCGAATCTGTTGACAAAATACCATGGAATATTATATGGCACTAAACGGCAGTGGCAGGAGCAATTCAGGACTTTTTTAATCATAAACTGCCTGTGCGGTCGAACGGTTCTCATGCTAGACTGCCACGCAGAGATTCAGTTCGATTCCCGGGCCGGGAGAAATATTTGTGGCCTACATTTAGTTCTCTCGTGAGTTTGGGTGTAATTTGCCGTTGTCTGTTTGTGTCCATGGCACCCGCGATACAGAGTTTCTCTAGTGCGGGCCCATGAGTGTGTGCGTTATTATTATTAAATATAAACTTTATTACATAATACAACATAGTACAAACGGCGGACTTAATGCCATAAAGCATTCGGTACCAGTCAACCATTGGGACAAACAGGAAAAAAAAATAGGTTGGTGCTACATTAATGGCGTATGTGCACCAGGACTATACTCTAGCCAAATTTAATGTAGAATAAATGTTAACAAACAAAAACATATGATTTTTGGGGTTTTCATCTCAGAATCTTTCACAGTTACCACAATTTCAATATTTTCCAAAGATATTCGACTAGTTTATGGATAATGCTAAATCTTGAAGCTATGTTTATAAAGACTATTATTCAACAGAAGTTTTAAATCACCTAAAGATGATTTAAAAATTGCGACCATTCGAGTTCTGGTAGTAAAATAATATCAAATAAAATCTTACAATTTTGTTTCTTTTCATCTACCATTACCTACCATATAGCAGTGAATATTAATAGGATGCAAAAACTTCTTTTTATTCCTAAATCATACGTATCAATATGTATTTTGTAAACTTTACATAATTGGCTAGGTAGGTAAGTATTACTTCTACGTAACCCAATTACCTACTTACCTATTTAAATTCAAATTAAGGGAGCAGGCCGTGGGAAGAGCAAGCCTTAATAATGAGCATTGAAAAAAATGTTCTTTTCCTATGCCATCATTGGTTGCCTAACAACGTTTTCTTATTAAACATTCTACATCGAACTGCGAGAATAGCAGTGTCTCGCAGCTTATGTCGCTCTCGCGCAAATCGCGTCCTGTTGTACTGGTCCTACAGGTCCGCAGGCGACCGCCGGTATAAATACCGAAGCGACTAGGTGTAAACCACAGAACAATAAATACAGTAAGTGATTAGTTAGCGTTTGACGCGTGCCAACTACAGGTCTCGAAAGACCTATCTGAGCTGTCCGCCATTTTCGCTTTGCATGGTATGGTTGTGTCATTCTTTCGTGCAAATTCTCTAAAATCCTAGAAAAATGCCTTATTGTGCTGTGTTGGGAATATTACCCGTGGTGGTATTTCATATAATCGGAGTCTTATTTTAATAAATTTTCCCATAATATACCCCGGCAATATGGTCGCTTTTTTTTGGAGAACTAAATTAATTATCCAATTCGTCGTCGTTCAGCAATTAGTCGCTAGATGGCAGCACATAGACTGAAATTTTAATATGATATCAAAACGTTGTAACTTGCTATAATAGGTACTGATGGTATAAAACTTCGCTGATGAAAAACGAATATACGATATGTTAAAAACGAAACAGAGTAAAGTTTAAATTATATTAACAATTCAGAATTTGTTAATTCTTTTTAAATTTGAAACTACGACCAATTAATATCAAGATTTTGTAGTGTTTCAAATTCAGAATGTGTGAGTTTTGGCGACATCGGTTCTCATAGTAATCGCGTCTGAAAGCACTTTCATTGTTTTTTTTCTTCCGTAGTGTAAACAACAATAAACAACTTTTGTTTGAAAAATCGAATTCCCATTTTCTGTCCTCTTACAAATTGACTTACAATTAAATGGACGACGGGTCTAATACAAAAACCACGAAAAAAATGTCAAGGAAAAAAATGTAAAGAAATATGAAATAGCTAAAACGTTGAGTTTAAATTGTAATGTCATCGCAGTACTGTCTAATTTTGCTTGCTTCGCAGTCAGTCGAACAAACGAAGACTAAAGCGTGAATGACGCTCTGTATACGATTTTAACGCCCTATAAGTTCGGACACTTTTTAGCGCGGACCCGACGTCCGTATAATTGTAAGTCAATGCCTCTGTGTTATCTATTTTGTGCTACTGATCACCTTGGAACTAAACTTCAATAAACAAGACTGTGCCATCTTCTCGCCAATCGAAGATTCACCGCTGCCATTGTAGTCAAGGATAGAACGCGTGAGTACTTTGATACCATTTTAGCCAGGATAGCACAGGCAAAAGAATTACTGTAGCGCCATACAGTCCACCTACAGCTGCAGTGGCTCGACTTCCTCACGCTACAAAGGTAAATAAAAAATCATATTACCTGAGTAAATGATCGATAAATGTGGTTCCAGGGTAGCGATCACCACCGATGGCGACTCCCTCGCAGACGCCGTCGGCCTCCTTCGACAGGATGTTATTGAGCTCGTTGCTCATACCGCCTGAACGAGAGACATACGCCACGCTGTAAGAAAAAAGAAACAATAATGTGATAAATGGTATGAAAATACCAGCCACAGTTACTATATTGTTGAAGGTCATACGTGGACAAGTTCCACGTGCCTGTAATTTCACCAACACCCTTACCCTTCAAAACCGGAACGCAGTAATGCTGACATTATTGCTTGGCGGCAGAAGTAGTTAAGGTGGCATTACTTCCCTGGACGAACTTTGGTGAAATTACAAGCAGATGAGACTTTGTTTATTTATTTATTTATATATTCAGAAAATGTGTAACATAACAGTTTGCACCATGGCGTAACAGCAATTCATCAAACAACCGTAATTTAAATAGAAATACTTATAAAAAAAAGATACTTACTAATCTAATTTAAAATAAATTTAGGAAATGAAACTATTTTTCCGGATTTAAATCGCGTATTTTTGTTTTTCAAACAAACCGACGTTTCGGTCACTTTACAGTTCCCATGGTCACGGTTGACTGAGGTGGTACAGTCATCAACCAGTTGTGTCTAATATGCAAACCACCCTATTTTTTCACTATAGTTACAAAAGTTATTAATTAAATACCTTATTTGTAATTTTACAAAGAAACATTCCAATTTACGCTACATTTTACTAATTATTTTATTGTATAAATTTTTATTAAAATTTTAAATTAATTTAACTAACATCCATTCATTAGCTATGTTGAGTGTGTGCGTTATTATTATCCTTAGTTCTTTCTACTTGACTTGTCAACTTATGTCTCAGGGTGACAGGCGCAGTGGCAGTGCCCCTTAGATCTTTGCGATTTACAGCTCCGAGTGGCACTGCAACTGTTATGGACAGGCGTGTCGCTTACCATCAGGCGCACGACTTGAACGTCGCGTCACATGATATTATAAAAAAAAAGAACTCTTCTTGTTGCAAGTCAACGTCGATACAACCTGTGTTTTCACAAATAAATGAATTATTAATTTAAGTATACCAACCTGCCTGGCCTGTACAGCTTACTGTCAATAATATTGTCAATCATGCCGGCTGTGTTGCCAATCTTGAAGCAGCCTGGTTTGATACCGCCCACAGTAGCTGGGCCAATGATATTTACCTTTGGGAATGAAAAAGGATAATAAGAAATAATCTCAGCACAGAGTACTAAAAAAACCGACCTCAAAAGTACGTGGAATTACGTCTATTTGCTAAGTTTAATTGAAATATCCCCTAGTTCGCCACTATACAGGACTTGATACTGGAGATAATAAAAATAGGTTCTCACTACGACACTACTCAAAGTATATCGAGGGAAAAACGCCTTGAGTTGGATAAATAGCAAAGTCAACTAAATAATTGCTAAAAGTAATTGCTCCTAAATTAAAGTTAGGCGCTATTTATAAAAATGAATCTTCATGCGTGAACAGCCACCCTTAGAGGTGGATGATTTCCTTCAAAATGAAATGGGACCACTATGGAAGTACCCCCTTTCCAACAAAAAAAGAATAATGAAAATCGGTTCACAAATACCGGAGTTATCGCGTAACATACATACAAAAAAAAAACATACAGTCGAATTGAGAACCTCCTCCTTTTTTGAAGTCAGTTAAAAAAAGAAAGATCAGTTTAAGTATGGTATGTTTACGTAAGTTTGAAGTCATAAACATAGAATGTGTAATAAGTACTATACTCTACCCTATATTCCCGAAATTATTAAAAATAAACGGCTAAAAAGCAAAAAGTTATGTCTTACAAAAACAATTCACTTTCCATGCAATTTACGTTCACCATTCAAAATTCGTTCACCTTTTCTTATTAAAATCGTATCATGACGTGCCATTTGCCATGCAAATTGCGGTCT